GCACCCTGTTTGACTGAGCGAACTTAGAAAATAATAATAATACCAATAATTCTTTATTTCTTTTGCCCACAATCAACTTTTCACTCTTCACAGTGATGCACTTAATATAACGAGAACAGCCAAAATTTCATGAAGCAGAACACAAATCGTGTTGCCATATTTAGGTGATAGACATCCATTCGCGATCAAGGAAGGTGAAATTCTTACGGCACATGAAAATATTCAGATGCTGTTTCTTATTGAAAGCGAACTGAATCTGGTACAAAGGTGATACACGGGACATGCAAGATGGATAAAACGTTGGTAAACTGCGACTGACCATTGACGGAATTTGGAAGCCTAAGGATCGTAATAGTTCCATCGGATAAACATAGCCGTGGACAACTTTGTGAATAAATATATCTCTAAACTGCATCGTCAAGGCAGGCTTATGTGGCGCGAATCGTCTAAGTAACGTTTCATAATGAAAAAAAAATACTGTTCCAATATAGTGGTCATGTACTATTCTTTTCATTCGTTTCTGTAGTTGCCTGTTACATAGATAAAGAATTACAGGTTACAAATCCGAATTCTAACGGTGATCTAACTTGTGACTTAAACAAATGTAACACACAAAAGGGCGATGACGATTGGCGACATACTCAAGAAATTACACCCAGCATTCTAAAGGCAGCATTAACGGTTATGGACACGTGTTATTTGAAAACCAGTGCACTATCAATATGGACACCAAATACCTGACAACAGATACGCGGAGGAACGAGGCGCTTTCAAGGATGTAAGAAAAACGAATGAACTCACGCTTTCTAGACAGCACAATAAGCTTAGATTTCTCAGGCTTAAGCGTCAAGCAGTCTTTGATGCACCAATTCGAAACATATTCTATATCAGGTTGATGGCAACTGCAATCCAGCAGCGACTTCACACTTAGAAACAGATTAACATCGCCGGCCAAGAAAATAATTTTTGCATCACTAACACAGGAAACAATAATTAAACACGAGGAAGATACATAAAAAGGGGGGACGGGCAACGAAGTCTTCCAACTAGCAACAACATTAACTGACCTGAGGTTTGCATATATAGCTGAAGGAGGGGAGTGTAAAAAGACTCCACACTGGAAAGGGGGGAAAGCGATGGGAGAGGCTGTAGAGGCAAGAGATTGAAGGACGATCCCGTGAGGGTGACATCTAGTCGCTTGGAGCTGCGCAAACGCGGGACGTCAGCTCTGGGCTCAGGAAGTTTATCTCCCTCGTTGATAAGCTTATGGAGGGGGACCCGAAGTTGTTTTGACTGTGGTGCATGGCGAAGGCTTTCATGATTTCTCGTCCGTATCTTGAGGCATGACCTCCAATCTTGGTGGTCGAAGGAAGGTCGGCCGAACAGGGTTCGCTGCACTCAGAGGTGTGTTTGGCAATCGGGTGGTAACTAATCTCGGAAGTTGTTGTAAATCATCTTGATATACTATCTCCCGCCGCCTGAGCCAGGCGTGTGACGTATCAACAACAGCAGCGTTATGTCTTTCCTCGCCCTTTCTCCCTTCCCAACTCCCTCTCTCTTGCTTGCGTTAAATACTCTGTTCACGGACGAATAAACGTTCTTTTCCAGTCCCCCAGCGCTGGTCTCGTCAGTCGTCCACGCACCGTATGTGCGCTTGCTACACAGCAGTGGCGACGAGCAAGACAGGAACCCATGCACTAAAAGAAGATCACGGCGAGCAAAGCCACGGTACGGCCTTTCAAGAACCTGCAGCAATGACAACGAGAGCCTTGGCTCACCACCATCTCCCCGAGTATGACGGCGAAAGGGACAACTGGAGAGCGTACGTCATCAAGGCAGAAGCTTATTTCGAGGCAACGGGAGTTACCGACACAGCGAGAAAAAGGGCGTTGCTCGTAGCAGCGTTAAACACAAAGACTGTGCAGATCCTAGCGGGACGAGTCGCTCCGAAGAAACCCAACAGTCTGACATACGAAGAAGTAGTTGCAACACTGAATGAATATTTCGACTCAAAGCGCCACGAGATCACCGAAAGCTTCCGGTTCTTCAATCGATGTCAGCACGAAGGTGAGCCTTTACAACATTTCTTTGTCGACATCCGACGCATTGCAGACAACTGCAATTTCGGCAGCATGCTGGAACGAATGCTCCGCGACCGTATAGTCTGTGGCGTCAGATCAAAGGCCTTGCAAAAAGAGCTTTTGGCAAAAGCAAACTTGACTTTGGAAGAGGCCGAAGCGATAGCACTATCAGCCGAAACGGCAGATGACGACGCAAATAAGATATCGGGCGATACAACCACCGGACTGAAGGTTGACGCGCAGCGCGTGTTGACGAACGAGCCGACTTTAAAATGCGGACGTTGCGGAAGTAAGAAGCACAACAGCCACGCATGCCGCTGGGCCAAGAGCAGGGGCTATCACTGTGGTAGGCCGGGTCATCTTGCGAAAATGTGCTCGAGCGACGCTCCGAGGAAACGCGAAACGGCGTCGACACAAGGCATGCGGGGACGAGCACTGGCGATGGCGGAAGACTGTGCGGAGGGGAACGTAGACGAAGCGATGCACCTCTGGACTTTGACTTCTTCTCGGAAGTGGCAATTAGAGCCCCCAATTCACAGGACATTCACGTGGTGCGGTGTCGACATGCCAATGCTGATAGACACGGGGTCGCCCGTCTGTGTTGTGCCCCGCGAAATTTATGAAAAGAACTGGGAGAGATGGCCGCCATTGCAACCTTCAGGTGTCAAGCTGTCCTGTTATCTTGGCAAGCTCCCCGTCCTAGGACAATTGGACATGAAGGTAGCCTACAAGGGTGCCGTAGTAGAGTGCCCCCTAATTGTATTGAATTGCCCCGGTCCTAGTCTATGCGGGCGGGATCTACTGTTTCAGCTGAGCAACGCAGGGTCACCTATTCTTCACATGACTGCGGAAGCCGGATCGCCAACGAGTCTCCCGGCCGCGGACGACATCGCCAACGAGTTTCAAGACGTCTTCAGTGCGGAACTCGGCTGCATCAGCGGTCCCCCTGTACACCTTCAACTCAAGGAGGGAGCTACACCAAAGTCCTGTAAGGCACGATCCATCCCTTTTGCTCTCCGTGATAAGGCTTCTCAAGAACTAGACAGACTGGTAGCAATTGGCGTGTTATCACCGGTTGCGCATGCGGAGTGGGCTACGCCCATTGTGCCTGTCTTAAAGAAAGATGGAACAGTTCGGATTTGCGTTGATTTCAAGATCACGTTAAATCCTGTATGCGAACTGGAGCAGTACCCATTGCCGGTGATTGACGACATGTTTACGTGCCTAAACGGGGGAGAGTACTTCAGTACTCTCGATCTTCGTGACGCGTATAACCAAGTACCGCTTGACGAAGAATCACAGAAGCTATGCGTAATCAACACGCATCGAGGGCTATTTTGCTTCAAGAGGCTGCCTTTTGGCATAGCGTCTGCCCCAGCCATCTTTCAACGTAAAATCGAAACAGTCCTGCAGGGACTACCAGGCGTGCAAGCTTACCTCGATGATGTGCTGGTTGCGGAGCGACAAGGAAGTAATGATACTCTGCGAGCGGTACTGCAGCGTTTCCGCGAGCACGGTGTAAAACTCCGGCGAGACAAATGCAAATTTAGTCAGCCTTCAGTCACGTATTTAGGGCACCAAATCGACAAAGACGGCCTACATCCCACTGAGAAACATGTGGAAGCAATCGCCCAGGCTCCTAACCCAACAAATGTGCAGGAACTTCGCTCGTTTTTGGGCATGCTGTCGTATTACTCCAAGTTCCTGCCGAATATGTCATCCGTGCTTGCACCTTTGTACCAGTTGCTGGGGAAAAATGCGCGTTGGGTCTGGAGAGAAGCTCAGCAGGCCGCCTTTGCCAACGCAAAGCAGTGCTTACTTGCGGCAGGGGTACTCGTTTACTACGACCCCGCGAAACCATTGAAACTGGAGTGTGATGCTTCTCCGCATGGCATCGGTGCTGTGCTGTTTCATACGGTCGGAAAAGTAAACCGGCCCATTGGCTTCCGGTCGCGAACGCTGACCAGTGCCGAGCGGAATTACTCTCAGCTAGAACGTGAGGCCTTGGCTCTGGTTTTTGGGGTGTCGAAATTTCGCGACTATCTCTTAAACAGAGATTTCACCTTGGTCACAGATCATCAGCCGCTCCTGGGCCTGCTGAAAGCGGACAAGCCTACGCCGGCGTTGGCCGCAGCCCGAATACAGCGCTGGGCTCTCTACCTCGGTGGATTTCGCTATAAACTTCAGTATTCGCCCGGTAAGCTGCTACTAAACGTCGACCCACTCAGCCGGCTACCGCTGCACACTCCAGAACCACCAGCAAGGAGCGAACCCCCCGAGTATGTTCACGCGCTGGCAAGTTTCGATGATGGCACTGTGTCTGTCGAGGAACTCAAACAGCTAACTGCGCAGGACGTGTTACTAACGAAGGTTGTGGAGTATACGAAGCACGGCTGGCCTACACATGTAAAGGACGCGGGATTGGCGCCATTCTCGGAACGCCGGTTGGAACTATCTGTGGCTCACGGGTTGGTATACTGGGGTCATCGAGTTGTTGTTCCCACACAAGCACGAGAACGGGTACTACACATGTTGCATGAAACGCATCAAGGGTCCTCGGCCATGAAGGCGGTTGCCAGATCGGCATTCTGGTGGCCGGGACTAGACCGAGAGATAGAACACCTCTCAGCGTCGTGCCACAATTGCGTTCAAAACCTGCCTATGCCGGCCTCTGCTCAACTCATCAGTTGGCCAGCCGTTAAGGAAAAATGGTCGAGGCTCCACGCCGATTTCGCCGGGCCGGTCGCAGGCAGCATGATACTGGTAGTCGTGGATGCTGCCACTAAGTGGATTGAAGCTGTGCCCATGAGGCAGGCAAGCACGTCATCTACGATTGCCAGCTTGCGCAGCATTTTTGCCAGATTCGGTGTTCCACGCACAATAGTTACGGACAACGGCACGCAGTTCACTAGTCGCCATCTTTGCTAAGAACAATAACATCGCACACCTACGTACGGCTGTGTATCACCCACAGTCTAACGGACTTGCTGAACGAGCTGTTCGTACGATTAAGGAAGCGCTAAAGAAGATGAGCGAAGGCACACTTGAAGAGAAGCTAGTCAAAGTTCTTTTCAACTACAGGAGAACGCCGTGCCACGAGGGAAAATCCCCTTCCGAACTTCTATTCGGCTACTTGATCCGCTCGCGCTTGGACTCGTGTTTCCCACCTTTCCCAGGGTCAACCCAGGAGACGGAAGAGTGGACACTGCCGCCCGACACAGCCGTGTACGCCCGTAACTACGGCCAGGGGGAGAAATGGACACCAGGGAAAGTGCAGTCCACTACAGGGTCACGCATGGTCACCATACAAACGCCTACTGGGGTGGTTCGACGTCACATAGACCAAGTGCGTTCCAGGCCGAGCCCGGCATCCGCTCGGAGCGGCGTTCGAGACCAAGACGAGGGGAGCCCTTCGGCTGCAGCTGCGCCCGCACCGACCGACAACGAAGGCGATTTGAACGAGCAGCCTACAGACCAGGTGGCGCCGGCACAAGCGTCGCCGCCTATCCAGAAGGCGCAGAAACCCCCTCAAGCTTTGCGACGATCTACTCGGGAAAGGAAGCCTGTACAGCGTCTTCAATACTAAGGGAGGAGAAATGTTGTAAATCATCTTGATATGCTATCTCCCGCCCCCTGAGCCAGGCGTGTGACGTATCAACAACAGCAGCGTTATGTCTTTCCTCGCCCTTTCTCCCTTCCCAACTCCCTCTCTCTTGCTTGCGTTAAATACTCTGTTCACGGACGAATAAACGTTCTTTTCCAGTCCCCCAGCGCTGGTCTCGTCAGTCGTCCACGCACCGTATGTGCGCTTGCTACACAGCAGAAGTGTCGGAGGCTGCTTTCTTGATCTCGATTGCATGTTCCCTCACCCGATCGTTTAGGCATCGGCCAATCTGTCGGATTTATTTAGCACCGCCACAATATCATTTATTAATAAAAGAAGCAAAAGCGGCCCCAGGATGGAGCCCTGAGGCACTCCAAATTTTGAAACAAACTCGTCAGAGTAGCTACTATTAACCCGAACAAAGTTGCGACGACCACCTAGATAACTAGAAAACCATGCACACATTTGTGGGATAAAACCATGTAAAGCAAGTTTTTGTAGTTGGAAATCATAATGAACTTGGTTGAACTCCTTCGACATGTCGAGATCAATCCCGTTCACCTGTCCCCTACTGGAAACAATTGGAGCTGAAAAATTTAAACACGAGCATAAGTTAGATTCATCAACTGACCTTCACTCTATAAACCCGTGCTTAACTTAAGATGTAATTGTACTTAAATTTGAGTAAATACGATTATCTACCACGCTTTTAAATACTTCGAAATATGATAGATAAATGACTAACTGAAAAAATGCAATTAACTTCGTAACATTTTGTTTGTTGGCACATAGCGAATTTCAAACTTTGACGCTCAACCTCATAATAGACGTTAAAGTAAGGGTTAAAAAATTAATAGTTTGTGCTGCAACGTGACAGATGACATTCTCGTACCAGTCTTTAAATCCAAAGTAAGCGGACAAAGAGAGACAGTAATGTCGGTCCCTCGGCCCTCCGGTGGCCCAGGAAGCGAACCCAGTCGCAATTAGCGCTGCACTTTTCCCACTAAGGAGCGGCTTGAAGCCGTGTTGCAGGGCGACTCTTCTCTCCCCGTATTGCACATTACAACTTTTTTAACCAAAGCTTCAAGGCTAGACTAGGCTATTTGACGTCGAGCGTCAGTTCTTCGCACACATTATTCGCTCAGACACGAAACCAAAAGTAAATCGAAACTTTAGGGTTAACTAGATGACAAATGAACCCATTTCGCCTCTTTGCAAATGGTTGCGAGACCACCCAATTGGCCGCGAGGCTTACAAAAACTTAAAGCAATTTCCCTGTTTCTTTTTTTTTTTTTTGGAACAACAAAGAAAATGGATAGTATTATAGACTTTTCCAGCGCTTACCAGTACAGGTAAAACATTCTGAGCCGCTTGGCTGTGGACGCACGCGCCGGGCCTAATATCATCACCCCCCCCCCCCCCCCCCCCTTCCCCCAACCAAAGAAAAGCAGCTACTGCGCTTGTTTAGAATGCGTTCCACAGCCATAACGGCAAACTAAATGAATGCACGAGGGCGAATTCCAAAATCATCTATACATAGAAATGAAGATGTCAACACTTCTATATGATATTTACACTTTTATTGCCGTTGTCATTCTTGGTTGTGTGAAATGAAAACCATTTGTATCATATCCTTCCGACAGCAGATCATCTTTCCAGGGAATATTTGCTGGTGATAAAGGTAGTCCTGAAAAACATAAAGCGGTACTACAATTGAGATATGGCATGTCTCGCAATATGTTTTAGTAAAACTAAAAATTCCTGCATAAGAGTATCACGTCGTCATACTATATGTTTGTGACAAAGCAATTCAAACGCTACTATTTCAAACCCGCATATTGAAAGTGCCATAAAAAAAAGGGAACAGGCCGAGTTTGGTTGGCGATTTCATTTGAACTGCACTGAATTTTAGATTTAAGAAATATAACCCAACCACACGTACAATGTTCTTAGACAACTATATTGACTATGTACCATCCTCGTTGCATGAAACAAGAGTAAAAACATAGTTATTCATTTTACTAGAGTTTAAATGCATAATGCTCACCAGAATAGTAATCTATCCGAAGAAGCCACCGCCGAGACCCCCGTAGTGGCCCCCGTAGCGTCCTCCGTAGGATCCACCGTAGCTTCCTCCGTAGCTTCCTCCATAGTTACCACCAAAGCCGTGACCGAAGCCGCCGAGACCACCGAGACCGCCGCCGAATCCGCCGAGGCCGTATCCGCCGATGCCGTGACCACCGAGGCCGTAGCCTCCGATGCCGTGACCACCGAGGCCGTAGCCTCCGATGCCGTGGCCCAAACCGAAGCCGCCGGCAGCGGCGACGGCGAGAACGACGCAGAGGACGGCGAGGGAAAGCTACGATAAGAATGAAGACAAGTAATTTGGAATATGGTAATGTCACGAAACAAAAGGTAAATTGTTGCGGTGACCCTACTAATGATCCCAACGCGATCGCTAATACGGAATTTCAACTTCACTTTGTGATATGGGTATGACAATGTAATCAGCAGATGAAAAATTTCGGTAAGCGACTGAACCCAGAAATGAATAGGTAACCTAGCAGTGTTTATGATTGTTTTAAATTAAAAAGTTGGAAAAGCTGCCCTCCAGTTAAGTAAAATCGACTACGAATACTTATTATTTTATTAGATATACTATTCTAAAGACAGCTGTTCTCGAAACAAGGTTTGAAATATGAAATGCGAAAGGTTCTGAGAGTTCAAGTAATGTCCTAAATGATTGTAAAACATTGGCTAACTTTCTGCAAGGCTTCAGGATATGGTGACGAAGGAAGTGACTACTGCCATGGTAAAATAAACGCCTGTTTTACCTGCTTCTCGAGGCAGGTGTTGCTTCGGACATACTACAGTGTGATTCACCCAGGTAATATAAATGATTCTCGAAATAAGTAGCTAATTTTATCTTGAGAATTTGCGTCTTTGCGACTAATGACCACGGCTGAACTCTATGATACAATTGAATAATTAGTTGTAAAATATAAATTTATAATTACAATGATAAAATCAAATCTTCGGCACTGTGTTATTCCCGAGTATGAAGAACCTGGCTTAAGAATTTGTAAATTATCTGCTTACAAAACGGGTCCTAATATAAACCTGAACAAAAATAGGAAAGGTGATATCCTTATTTATGTGCAGTAAAAATGTAGTTGTGGCTTACAGCAGTCTTCATGATGTGCGACGGTAAGGTAAGTCCGTTTCGGGCAGCTTTGGATTTGGAAGTGATGAATCCTAAAAGCTGGAGAGTTTTTATACCGTATCGAGAAGGGGAAAGTACACTCACATGCAAAGTTATTTTTTTTTATTCTTTTGGTTCACGCGAACGCTGCACCGAGGTTTAACTGTGATTGGCCGAACTAGTGTTTTTTTTTACTTCTACATTCATTTCTCTTTCATTCGCGTTTGCTCTATAAAATCAAAGAAGCTCGAAAATCGCAGTGTAAAATAATTTGTTCTTGAATCACGTATGCCCTGAACGATTGCTATCGGTGAGAATGCGTAATGACAGCATATAAGGTCACGCTTTAGAGTAGACTTTCGACATCTGGCCACTTAAAAATGTGCAAAGAATTATTCTAAAGTTTTCATTCTTTTTATCAGCAAAGTAGTGCTTTAGTCATATTAAGTACACGTCTATCAAAAAAGAGTCTAATAAGTAAAAGAAAATTGATGCCTTGTGTTTCATATAGTGCGTGCCTAATTCTGGGCATTTAATCGATTAACCTACCGATTAATTGATTAATGCTTAAGCCTCTATCAATTTTTTAAACCGGTTAATCGGCTAAATTTTAACAGACACAAAAGGTAAAAATTCAACGCATTCAACACGTGGACGAGAACGACTACTACTGTCCGAAGGCAAACTTTAGGTGAAATTTTGACCTAAAGCCGAGTCAGCGCTGGACCCATTGAATTTTTCCTTTTTGTGCTTGTCAAAATTTAGCCAATTCACGAGACATGGCTCTATATATTAATATATATATATATTGCAATAGCGCAACTTCATCACCATCAACATCCACACTATCATTACCATCCACAACAGCGCACCGCCTGCACGGGAGGTCTGTAGCTCATGCTAGAGCTCGAAAGGCAGAATTGCCCTAGGGCTCGGCCACTAAGGCCGGTGTTTTTTTATCTCTACTTTGTCCTTCTTACAATATCTATATATATATATATATATATATATATATATATATATATATATAATGGGATTGAGTGAAGATTGACAAGTGCAGCCGTAGTAATATTAAGAACGAAGAGGGGAGAAGGTGATTATTGAATTTATTGCATTAAAGTTAGGGAAAGGGAAAGGGAAAGAGAGCTGGCGAAAAATTGGGCCAGGAGCGGGGATCGAACCCGCAACCTTCGCCTGACCGGGGCGACGCCTTAACCGATTAGACCATCCTGGCCACTGGTTTCGGCGGACTCAATTTCTGACCAGCTCTCTGTGTACTGTTTAGTTTCGAATTCGCTTAACTGGGTAGACGACAACCGTTGCTGATTTAAGGCCCGCGCTATTTCCGACATGCGGCAGTGACGTGGCACGTCATCTCAGCTTGCAAATGTCGGAAAGGGCCCGTCTTCCAGGATATCTAGGGAACCACTCCTCCCCATAGGGACAGGCTGCACCGTATATATAATGGGATTGAGTGAAGATTGACAAGTGCAGCCGTAGTAATATTAAGAACGAAGAGGGGAGAAGGTGATTATTGAATTTATTGCATTAAAGTTAGGGAAAGGGAAAGGGAAAGAGAGCTGGCGAAAAATTGGGCCAGGAGCGGGGATTGAACCCGCAACCTTCGCCTGACCGGGGCGACGCCTTAACCGATTAGACCATCCTGGCCACTGGTTTCGGCGGACTCAATTTCTGACCAGCTCTCTGTATATATATATATATATATATATATATATATATATATATATATGAGTGATTTAACCTCGAATTATGCAGGCAAATAAAAGTCGAAATTTTAATTTCGCTGAAACACCTATATGCTATAGTGTCGTCCCTAAGAACGCAGTAGCCATAAACAGCAAGTTCGTCGGATTTTTTGTCCTCGACTTACGAATTTTAAAAGAGGCCGCGGCGGAAAGCAGTGTTTTTCACATCCGTCGTGGGTCGGATGTGTCGCTCAATCTCCCGCCGTGGATTTTCAGTCCACATTATATTAACTTTTTTCGAGCACTCTGTAAGCTCAGGTAAAAAGCTCTAATACCAAAAAATAATTTTAGGCGTATTGATTTTTCTGTATAAGTGTCAAATACACTTATACAGAAAAATGGTTAATTGTTGTCGAACTTTGACAATTAAATACTGGCGATCTACTTGGTTTACGTCGTACTTTATATGTCTATGGAGAGCCCAGAACATGTTCTTTATACATATTATAAAATCACTCAGCTGTATAAAAGTATATTTGCAGTACGTTTACGTTAATGTTATGCGAAAACCAAAAAGTACACAATTTGAAATCAATTTTCTAAAAAAAAACATTTTTTTTAATTTTTTTTTGTTAAAATGTAGATATCATAGTTGTATACTCGAAAAGCAAGTCTACGAAGTGTTATTTTGTTTGTATGTTCTATATTTAAGCCTCAATATCGAAAAAAGGCGTCTTCGTTTTGCAAGACCTAAGTCAGACACAGTCACCCGTGCGTTTCTATGAATTGTGAAAAAGGTTTCTTGAATTTTCGTCTGCGTTTTCTAATAAATTATACACGCATTTTGTGGCGTTGAATAGTTATTTATGTTTCGATAAGAGCGGGAAACCATGAGAAATATATCTAACCAAATCAGCAGGCCGAGTAGACCTTCAATACCGAAGAACCACATAAGTATTGTTTCGATTTAAAAAAACTTTCACTGTAAACTAGCATGACTCGCTATTGGCTGTCATATTGCTAAGACATAGAAAGTCACCACATCGTCGGTATATTATATACAATTCTTTTCGAAACCAAACGCTAGGGTTTGTTCACCGCACATCGCACAGATCACCTTTCACTTCCGTAATACACAAAAGTGAAGGCACTGAAACGGTGTGAAAAACCCGGAAAATTTGTCACGGAGAGGGGTAGGGAATAAAAATAAATAAATAAGAATAATATTCCCCAATTCCGATCTCAACAAAAATTGCGTTAAAAAAATAAAAGATTTAGGTTTGAGCGGTGGCAAGGCGACAGGTCTACGCCTGGTGGAGAGACAGATAAAGAAGTCGGCGACACTTAAAGGTAAAACCCCCAAAAAATTAAAAACTTAATCAAGACGGAAAAACTCAGCCGTGCACGGCAAGAACAAAAACCAACTCCTTTGGGCATTCCCCCAAAAGGGACACAATCAAATTCATGCGAACACGCTCTCTACAGCACCGCCAGGCCGCTACGCCAGGACGAAATAAACCCAGCAACTAAAGAATGCTTACAAACAGTTAGTAAGAGAACATTCCAAAAAGAAAAACATTCAGTAAAACCGCAGCCGAGAAGCAAAGTTCAGCGGAACGAAGAAACAAACAAAATAAAGAAAAAAGTCTTAACTGACTAATACCGAGTCTAGTCCTACGATACTGGAGCCTGGCAGGATGACGGCGTTCCTATGATGCTCGAATCTATTCTTCCCTCTGTTCCGCAGAGCCACGACGGCTGTGCTGAACAAAATGAAGAATAGATTCGTGCAGCGATGCGCGAGAAGGTAACCGAGACGTAAAATGCCTCGAGCTTCATATCGCGAAAAAAGCTTTCGAGGTAATTTCTGCAATTACTTAAACTTTCTCTTCCCCCTTCCCTTTTTCAAAAGAACACGTCAGCCGGCGCTTACTTTTCATCTCGGGAGAAGACCACACCTCACAAACGGTTATAGTTGACAAGGCGGCTGACTTCGACCGACTAGTCTCCGGGCAGAATAAACACAAGTATATTTACTTACGCGCTCGTTTTCAATGTTAGTCTCCGGGCTTTGCTGTTTACGAAAGAGAAAAACTTTCGGTGCTATCGGATCTCCGAGTAGAGACATAGAGCACGGTCGTTTCAAGGATAGGGCGCTCGAAGCTTGGGCAAATCCGCAGTATCGTTTCACGCGTGCATGGATGGCTGGTTTCAATATTTTCCCACATCCCTAACGAAATCGGCCCATCTTCGTGTGTACGCCTGCGGGATTGTTGTCCCGCGCCGCCGGTTTTAGCGCGCACGCGGCGTTGTTTTGACCTTCAGAACTGTTGTTGACCGTCGATATTCTAAGGCCGTGGTGCCCTCATCCTCCCAGGCAACAGAGGCCAGATTCACGAAGAGCTTCTTAGTTCACGACAACTTAGCTAAGAAGTTCGTAAGTTAAGAACATCGTAAGAAGAGGAGAAATCGGTATTCACGAACGCGTTCTTAAGTGAGAGGAGGAAAGCAACGTTCTCGTACGGAAAAACTAGAACTTACCGGTGCTGTAGCTATGGCGACGGCGTCTTGGGCAGCACGAACAACCAATCGGAGAGCTCGGCAGGGTTCGAGCCGTTTAGAGCGCGTGGATTTTCAATAACAAACACAGGCCGCCTTTCTGCCACCGCTTTTCTCGGGTTCGTGTCCGTGCAGTGATATGCCGACGCTAACACGAGTTAAACACCAAGAATGCCGAGGCCGGAATGCGTAACCGCCTCCGTTGACTGCTACGAGCTTGATCGCTACGAAGTTAACACAACTGTCATCGTTGGTAAAAGACGGCCCATTTCAGTCGTTTGCAAAGCGACGTAGATGGAAGCAAATTGCCGCAGCGTTTTTCGCGGCCTCGGAGATGCAGGAGCGAGCCGACGTTAAAAAAGATACGTTTGAACTACGAGAGTGTCCAGCAAGAGCCACGTAATACCTGTTCACACTCGGAGCGGACGCGCGCGTTTGATCGAAGTGCTGGATACGCGCTGTTGGACTGCGAATTAATGAGCGCTTCGGGACCGATCCTTTACAATTGCAACTCGATGCTTACGTGACGCCCGGCAAAGAAAGGTTGGACCGGCATTGCGACCCAAAAACTGTTATAGCGATCGATAGTGAGGTGCAGTCGTGTCATAATAAAAATGGCATAATAATAACAGAGTGTACTTTATACCGTGTTGCGAAGGTGATCCAAACGGCATTTATTTGAGCTCTATATCACACAAAACCAAAATAGAAATCGATGAAAGTCCCTTTTTGATGACAGCGTTTGTCATCGCGGCCTCGGAAAACAAGGAGATGTCACGAGGAAGAGATTACCTCTTAGTCTAAAATTGAAGTCAGCGATTAAACTAAAATACGGGAATGGTTCACAAGGGTCGCGTGGGCATATTCCGTTCAGGACGCCAGCCGGTCGTGGGCAGACGGTCTTGGCCAAGGACCGTCAGAGCCCCGCTGCGCCGAGTCGGAGTGCCTGCTAGGCCTATCTGCCGAGCTCGCTTGTGGTCGGTGGAATCGTGGCCGTTGGAGCTTTTCCCGGGTGTTTGTGGATCCAGCGTTCTTGTTCGTCGTGATCTGTTTCAAGTACTTTTTACTTTTTTCTTGCTGCTTCAAGTCGGGACGGGTGAGAAGAGCACGTAGAAAAATAGACATCCGTTGATCGTCGCGACCAACAACTGAGCTACGCTGTCGGCCATGCTGATTTGATCGTAAGAAGTGCGCAAGACAGCTTCGTAGCTGTCGTAGGATTCCGTCGTAACCTGCGCAAAACTTACGAAAATTTTGTTTCGTGAATACGAATTTGTTCTTAAGTTTTGTCTTACGCACATTTTTGGCGTAAGATCATCTGCCAATGTCCGGTCGGGTGTGCTAACCTAGGTTTGCACACCCGACCGGACATTGGGAGGCCCAGAGTTCAATTCTTACAACCGCCGTTTTTTGGCTTTCGGCGGGTTCCTGAAAACTTTGGTTCTTTGATTCATTGGATTAAATATGGTTCATTCATCTGCATATGTTCGTTTATATTCTCCTCGGACACCAGGTACGATGGTGTGGGGTGCCTGTGTTGTAGATATATATTTATATATATATATATAAATATATATTTTTTTTCTTGAGCTGAATGTCATTAAATATCCTTACCATAGAGTTATTACAATAAACGTTAGAGACTCAGGTGGTGCTACTGTGGTGCTGCATTTTGATGCAGACAGCAAGCAGTCAGAAATTGACTTCCGGTAATGCATTTCTATGGGAAAAACCGAGTGCATTTTTTCTCTGCGCTCGATTATTAGAGCAAATATCACAAATGATTTGTATGTACTAGGCAGATTGGAACATTTCTCAGTCACGCAGACGGGATAATCGGTCAGTTACAGCATTTTTATTTTAAATTCGCGGCATGAAAAACGGTGTTAAAACCGCTTCGTACGTGCATTTATGTGCATTGTCGGACACTGTTAACACGAACACGAAGTCGGCGATTTCCAGCATGGGG